ATTGTTACTTTTTATAACTATCATAATGTATTTAATAACGTTGCAATTTTTTATGACTAATAATAATTAACTAAATGCTAAGGTTGAAAAAGTCATTTTCGAAAAGTAATTCGTTACCATTATACATATATTTACAGAAAAAAGTTATTTGTTATTTAATATCAGCTCGTTATTTTTACAGTTACTTTTAACGATCTTTACGAGTCACTTTCTTTTTTTAAGTAAGCGACTTTTCCAACCTTACGGTGTCACCGTTTTACTATTATATAAGAAATTCACAAAACATCATTGCAAAATCATATTATTATAATAAAGTAACGCATTACAAGTAACGTGTCCTTCTATTTCGTGATTTTATTTTTAATGACATAGGCCAGTAAAATTAGACAAAAAGAGGGGGTTTTTGAAAAAGTGATGCTAACTTTACGGGACTTTTTCAGGGTTGTTTGGGAAGTTAAGGAGAGCTTAAATCCAAGTTTGCGTATACCCAGACCCCCTAGGGATTTTTTTAAGGAGGGGGGAAGGTAAAAATTTTGTTTTCGCTATAACTCGGCACCAATTAAAAAATTAAAAAAAGGGTTTTGTAGGTTTTTTGAAGCTCTACAAGTTTCCTTTGGACGACTTTTCCCTAAAATTAATATTTAACGAGTTATCGTAAAAAAACAGTAAAAAAAGTACATTTTTTTGGTTTTTCGCTTATATCTTTTTTGGGTCAATAAATAGAATTTGTTCATGTATGAGAAAGTTGTAGAGCTTGAAAAAACGAACAAAATCACCGTGTCAGGGAGAGATTTTTCGATCGGTTGAAAAATAAGGTCGAAGGCAGCGTCTGAAGTTGCGCTATCTATTCGCGCCCGTCCGGCACCGGCGGCTCGACGCTGCGACACGCGCTCGGATCTCGGCGCGTTTGTCGCTTATATCTCTGTGCCAATGAATCGAAATAAAAAATGATGTATGATAAACTTGAAGAGGGTGAATATATATATTTTGTTTATTCCGATATGTGTATTTTCCAATAATAATTAGTTCATTTCATAAATAAAAAGTTGTTCAACATACTTTACATTCCTAACACAAGATTCATATTCTTATTTTATACTCTTATCGTTAATAACAATAATATAGATAATAATAAACTATTTACTTCGATTATTAAAATTATTGTGCTATAATGTTCATATATTTGCAATGACATAAACGTTACATTTTTATATTGAAATATATTGGTCGTTTAACAGTTCGAAAAGGCTGTCTTTTTTCTATTTTTGCTCTCCAACGGATGTAATTTTCAATATTTTTTTATGAAATAAGCACCAATCGTTATATATATTCACCCTCTTCAAGTTTGTCATACATTATTTTTCATTTCGATTCATTGGCACAGAGATATAAGCGACAAACGCGCCGAGATCCGAGCGCGTGTCGCAGCGTCGAGCCGCCGGTACCGGACGGGCGCGAATAGATAGCGCAACTTCAGACGCTGCCTTCGACCTTATTTTTCAACCGATCGAAAAATCTCTCTCTGACACGGTGATTTTGTTCGTTTTTTCAAGCTCTACAACTTTCTCATACATGAACAAATTCTATTTATTGACCCAAAAAAGATATAAGCGAAAAACCAAAAAAATGTACTTTTTTTACTGTTTTTTTTACGATAACTCGTTAAATATTAATTTTAATTGTCCAAAGGAAACTTGTAGAGCTTCAAAAAACCTACAAAACCCTTTTTTAAATTTTTTAATTGGTGCCGAGTTATAGCAAAAACAAAATTTTTACCTTCCCCCCTCCTTAAAAAAATCCCTAGGGGTCTGGGTATACGCAAACTTGGATTTAAGCTCTCCTTAACTTCCCAAACAACCCTGAAAAAGTCCCGTAAAGTTAGCATCACTTTTTCAAAAACCCCCTCTTTTTGTCTAATTTGACTGGCCTAACACTAGTTTCAAAAATTGACGTTGCTTCCACTGATAAATGAATGTTTAGAGCGTTCTCATTTCTTTAAAATGTAGTAATTTTCTTTTCATCACATTTAAGAATCAATCACAGTTAAACAAACTTAATTTTGCTTCTAAAATCTCATACGTGTCAGGAATCATGCGAAAATGTTCACGAAATTTCTTTGCTGTTAGGCCTGGAACCTTGGTTCTGTCTACGTAATCTATGGCTGGTAATCAGTTCTTGTATTCAAGACCGTCTTAAGTTCAGTCTTGAAGAGTTACGAACCAATCAGAGGGCCGCTTTAGCATTTTAAGACATTACTTAAGACATTCTTCAAATAAGAACTGACTATGAATACCTGCCTATGATACGCAATAGCTTCTTTCGTGGCCCACGCAATCTATGCTGGTATTTTGTCTGAAAAATAATATCTTATATTTCCTCGTCTGTCTCGCTATCATTCATTATATTTAAATTAGACTTTAAGAACTCGTCGCTAGTATTTACAGCCACAGAAATTAAACGTTTTCGACGTAACTCAACACTATCCATTTTGAATTTGTACATTTAATATTTTGGTAGTCGTTCGAAAACCAACAGTTCTCTAAATTCCCCATTACCCCCACCAACGCATCCCTAATGCCTAATTCATACTGGATGCGATGGGCGATGAGCGATATCCAATAAAAGCTTTGCTTTAGCTTACACGACGATGTAAAGCAGAGTTCTTATTGGTTATCGCTCGTCGCGCATCGCTCATCGCGCGTAGTGTGAACTAGGCATAAGTCACCTCACTTGCGCTGGCAAAGGACGTTTTCGAACGCAGCCTAGCGATGCACTACTCCGCTCACCTGGGCACACTGGGCGAGGTTACTTGCTTGGAGTCGCTCGCTCTAGTGACCCTCTAATAAGAGTCTGGACACGTGAAGTCCGCCATTATTCGTCGAAATTGTGCGAGAGAGAAAAAAATCATGCTATCTCATTCTAGTGGCGCTGTAAGTTGTAGCTGATTGTAACTCTACAAACTTCATAGTTTCTGTTTCTGTTTCGTCTCGCCTCATGCATCGTATCATTTTTAAGACCAGGACCATTAATATTCGAAGAAGAAGAAGAATCATTATGATTAATATTATTATATTATTATATTATATTATTATATTATTATATTAT